ATTGGGATTTACTTGAGCGTCCTTGGGACCTACTGGATTTTGAAGATATGCTGATAGAAAGAAGAAATGGTTTAGTGACAATTTCTTCCACCAGTGGGGGAAGGGGGAATCTACAGATCTTTGAAATTGTTAAGCGTAACTTTTGTTCTAATGGTCGAGCGTGTCAGATATTGATAATGTACATGCTCCATGTGTATTTAATAATAAAAAACTCTTAATCTGCCAGTTTGCATGGTGGGGTTGAATGTTCTGGAGAGTACAAACGAGAACCCTTCAAAATCCCCCCACTCTTGCAAATCAAGTTGGAATGGGCAGATTTTTTAAACGCACTTCCTTTAGCACGGTATTGACCTACCTTCCCTTAATCTGACGAAACTGACTTTATTTAGTCAGACTTTTTTTTTAATTTTCAGTCCCCCCCTTCTAATCAGATCGGATATATGTTGGGTATATTCAACATGACACTAGGTTTTCCCCATATGTTAATCTGACGCGCTCGAGTAACTACCGAAATCCCTTCATGGGCTCCCCTACTATTATAAAGCAAGTTACAAGACGGCGGCGTGTAGTTCGCACTTACAAATTTTCGTAAATTACAGAAAAATGAAAAATATTTACCTACAAATTTTTTTATTGATTCGGGCTCAGAATCGATAGCCGAGTTACCTCCTAGAAAATGACGCGGCTTTAAAACAACACCTTGTTCAATGCCGAAGCCTTCAAACGGTAAAAAGTGATCATAAATTACTATTAGTTGAAACCCATTAGATAGGGAGGGGAATTTGATATAAATTAAAGGAAAATTAAATTATCTTGATTTCCGTCAAAACTACAAGTCCTATCGAAATCAGATCAATCAGTTCCGATCGATCGACATTGGTATTGTGAAAGGAGAGGGGGACTTCTGGGCCCAGCAGTTAACTACGTGAAATATGTCTCAAAAAAACCGGTACATTTTTCTAAAGAAAATAGCAAAATATGGTAGGTACCAGGATTCTACCCAGGAAGCGAGAAAACTTAAATTAAAATAATAAGACTAAATAATCGATTAAATAAACCCTAGTAATCGATTATTAATAAATCGCTAAAATCTGAGAATATTTGGCTGTACTTTTTTTTGTTGTGTTTGTTATTAAAATTCTGCTGCAAAAATTACAGGGGTATGGAGTGAGAGGTAATATTCTGAAACTCATAGAATCGTATCTGAGTAACCGATCTCAATGTACAGAAATCACCAGAATATGCCCTGCTACTAAATTAGAGAAAAAATATTTATCTAAACCAAGGTTTACAAGATATGGTGTACCACAAGGCAGCGTCCTGGGGCCACTACTTTTCTTAATTTATATTAATGATCTCCCCAAAACTATAGATCACAAAATGGTGTTGTTTGCAGATGACAGCACTGCTATTGTGGAATGTAATAATTATAATAATTATCAAAATGACATAAATAAGTCATTGAATGACATTATAAATTGGCTTGACATTAATAATCTTATAATTAATTTAAATAAAACAAAAGTTGTACATTTCCACCAGCGTCGTAAACACTTACCGTTTAATGTGACTTATAATAACTGTATAGTGGAGGAAGTTACAAGTGCGAAATTCTTAGGCATTACCATAGATAATAAATTAACTTGGAGACCTCACTTAAATGAAATATGCACGCGTCTCAGTAAGTCTGCATATCTTTTATTCCAATTAGCCAAGAAAGTTGATACTAATACA